GCTGCATAATGAATCTTGTATCCCGAAAAGACTCACAGCAGACATCTGCTGAGTCACAACAGAAATGTATTGAGTTTTGCTCCATTTTTTTGACTTTTCTTGCCACATTTGTTAACTCAATCACAGTTAAATAACACAGTTGTTAAGGGAATCTGGTTTCCCCATTGACTTTGCTTGTCAGAAGGTCAGAAAAGGTGATCACATGACCTTACATGGGACACTACAACCATCATAAATATGAGTCAGTTGTCAAGCATCTGAATATAAGTCAAGGACCACCTGTAGTACAACAAATAGATGGAACTTGGTATTTGATTTATTCTGATAAATTGGATAGAGACATAGAAACTCATAGGTTTACAATTTAGGCTCATTTCTGGAAGATGATGATGATGATAACCAATGTCATGTCTGATTCTTGGAGATTCTTTGGGCCAGGTCTCTCCTGGAATCTAATACTAGTCTCAAGATTTGTGCCTTGTCTAAATATAAGTAGTAATCTGTCTTTCAGCTTAACCCCATAGAAAATCAGCTTTCTATCCCATTGAATGTACCCAAATGTAAAGTGATGGGAAGAACATGGGTCATTCAAACCTATTCATGGCACTCATTCAAAGCCTGCTGTCATGAGTTTAAAGTTGTAGTACAATAAGGTATGAATATTCATAAGTTCCCTAGCTATTCATTACTTCCCTAGCAGTAAATTATCAGTAAGTGATATTATTCTATTAGAAATTGAATCAGCTGACTCCAGCAATATTTACAAATGATAGCAAGTTACCTTAGCTAGCTCATACAATAATACATATGTCCTTCAGGTAAATGTCATTTAGAATAACTTGGTGAGAGATGACCTCTTTGTGTAGACCATCCATTCATAACTTCTTCATGAGTGCAGTAGAAATGTAAAATAAGTTTAATGGTCTTCTTATGCATTCAATATACAACGTGTGTACACACACACGCACACGTACAATCGATGGAAACTTCCAAATTATATCAAAGTCATATGCCTTCAAAGTGTGGGTTAGATTAGTCATATATTCTTTCAGAACAAGATCTGGGGTAAGGTATTAGCAGCAGTGGTGGGTTTCAAAAAAAATTCGAACCTACTCTGTGGGTGTGGCCTCCTTTGTGGGAGTGGCTTGCCGGCCATGTGTTTTCTCTCTCTCTCTCTCTCTCTCTCTCTCTCTCCTTCTCTCTCTCTCTCTTNTGGCCTTCACAATGCAACGGTCACTGCCTTGTGGACGTTGACATTTACGAAGATTAAGTCCAAGTAAGTCCAAGTTATGGATCATATTGCATTTATCTTCCTAGAACAGGTATTTACCAAAAACATCAATAATCATATTCAAGCTTGATAAATCTTCATCATTTATTAAACTGATTCCTACAGCATATAGTTAACCACATGATATGTGGTTAATCACACTGACATTTCTACTTTTACATCTATCAGGCTGGTATTTTGCAATCTGCCATTCTCCAAGCATATTGTGGTTGGTACTCCTGGAGAGGGCAGAGGTTTCACTAGAGAAAACTGAGGTGAAAGGAGTTAAAGGAGTGGAAGAGAAGGCAAATTCTACCTTTCCCAGAGATTCCCTGAGTTTATGAGCTCATGCTTGAGAACAAAAGCAGGAAAGGCTGAGTGGGGTAAACAAATATCTGTCCTGCCAAACAGTTCTATATCGGGTGGGGAAGGTCTTCTTTGGTGGGTGGAGATTCTCTCCACAGCTAGTGTTGCAATCAGGCAGGCATGATAAGAGGGTTCGAAGGAAAGCCTTTCCCCAGGAGGAAGATAAGTCCCTCTTCCTATGACATTCATTCTCATTTGCTCATCTCCAAAAAGCAGCCACAGCAGGATTACTAAGCGTATCTTGGGCATTATGAATAAACAAGTCAACAAAAAGATACAAGTGCAGAAATATGAGCCACATATAAAGAGGGGTTTGCAGAGGAATACCATCTTTTGTAGTTGTGTGAGATACCTTCAGCCATTCTTCAGCTTGCTCTTTACTTTGCACTGCTAACACTAGGACCTCAGCTCCTGGTAGTGTGAAGCGCAGCTCGTGCTTCTTGCGGCGGCCATCCTTTGGCACATAGACAACGTGGCTGGTACTCAAAGGCACTTCAAGGTGTGGCTGTCTGTGCTTGGAGCTTTTGTAACACTAACATTAGAAAGAAGGGACAATTGAGATTTCATTCAGCATTTCACGGCTCGCACATTTCACACCTGTTCTCCATGTGGTAAGAACAAACAAAAGAGTATTGTCATGATGTTGACCATTTGGAAATGGCTGAGATTTACATGTCAGAGAAAGAAGAAAAATTCGAAGATTCACACAGCTTAACAAACCACAACACTTTGTTACATGAAGCAAAAGATACATTGAACCTGATGTTCGGTTTGACACATACATGCTGTATGTCTTGAAATATTATATCAATGTATTTTAAATTTCTCAGGTTGTTTTAAAGAAAGTAAGAAATATGCTTCCAGAGGGGGATCAGGAAGCAGCAAAGCATAGTTGGTAGAGCAGCCAGAACACTTCCTGCTCAAATACTTATCTAAATAGGGTCTTTCCAAGTAATATTGGTACAGGAAAATGTTAGATGAAGAAATAATTAACCTATCCCCTACTCTGTGCTTTTCTAGTCCATAATGAACTTGGAAGAATAAATTCCAATCAAAGAATTTTGACTGGATTTTTTTTCATTTTTCATCTTAAAAAGAGATATTTGGTGAGGGTGGATAAGTACATCTTACAGTCAATGCTACCTATAAACCCCTTACAGCAGTGATGGTAACCTTTTTGTCCTTGTGTACCAAAAGTGTGTGCTTTTACAGAGCGTGTGCATGTGCCCACACCCACAATACAATGTGCGCGTGAACTCCCGGTGCGCCCCCGTGCATGTTCACGAGATCCCCGCGCACTCCATTTTGGGCCTAGCAGGCATCCCTGAAGCCTTCTGAGACCAAAAAAGTGGGGACAGGGGAGCAGCCCCCCCCCCCCCGCACTACCCCCATCCCCTGTGCATGCCTACGCTGTTACAGATATTATATCTGCCTTCTATGCAGCTTTATTCCTCTCTAACATTCATCTCCATTGTTCAATGATACATTTCCAGCCTCTCTAGGATTTACCTCTATCTGCTNTGGTCACATGGGCGGCAAGCCACTCCCACAAAGGAGGCCACACCCACAGAGTAGGTTTGAACAGAGTAGGTGTGGCCTGCTTTCCGGGTCCACTGGTGGAACCTCTTCCAACCGGTTCAGTAGATTTGACGAACCGGTTCTAGGGAACTGGTGCGAACCAATAGGAACCCACCTCTGGTGCAAACCTATTTAGCGCTAATTGCAAAAAAGTAAAAGTCACCTCCAGATTTTGGAAGGTTCTTGGACAAGATGATTTCCGTGAAGAGAAGAGTGGCTTGGAAAATGGGCAGCCCTGCTCTCTGTTTATTTGGTTTGCCTTCCATTGAGATGGACAAGCAAACAGGATGGTGGCTAGTCCTCCCTGCTTCTGCCTATTTGTTTAGCGGGACTCGGGAACAAGTAATGACAAAGTAATCATCTCTCAAGCACTGCTCGATCAAGGACAAAATTGGTGTAGCTCCAGCTTTTAGAATATAAGCACTGAAACCAGGTTGCAAAAGCAATAACTTTTCGGAATACGAAAGAGTCAAGTTTTAAGATTTTACTGTATAATGCTTTTTGTATTGTAGTAAGGGTAGCTTCTTGCATTGGGTGTGTTGCACAGCACGGTCTGTAAAAAGGAGTCTAAACGTGCAAGAGGGCAGTGATGGAATGATGACTAAAAGGTTGCCCATTTTATAAATGCATGACATATGTGAAGAAGGGCAGAAGGGCTTCAGTTGCAACTATGCAATTGCCATCTTCCCTAAGCTTTACAGTAATTGAATAATTACAGGTAATCCTCATTTAATGATAATAATTGGGACTAGAAACTCCATTGTTAAGTAACATGGTCATAAGAGGGGGGGGGATCATGTGACTGCACCATCTAGTGATGGCAGTTCCAGCAGTCCCAATTGTCATTATTAATGGAGGACCACACACATTGTTAAGCAAGGACCTCACGTGATTTTGACTTCTGACTTCCTGCTGGCTTTCTCGCTGATTTTGCTTGGGGATCACAGACAGGAAAGTAGCAAACTACAATCATCTGACCGGTTCACCAACAAAAGCACGCCGACGAAACCGCAGCGAGAAAACCGCGAGGTCGGAATCGCGCCAAATGAGTGCAGAAGCACGCCGCCAACAGCATATCTTCAACAAAGAACTAATAACAACCTAATAACCCTAACCCTAACCCTAACTCTGAACCTAACCCTAAACCTAACCCTAACCCAAACCCTAACCCTAACTCTGAACCTAACCCTAAACCTAACCCTAACCCAAACCCTAACCCTAACTCTGAACCTAACCCTAAACCTAACCCTAACCCAAACCCTAACCCTAACCCTAAACCTAATCCTGAACCTAGTCTTGAACCTAACCCTTATCTTAACTTAAATCGCGGTTTTGTCGGCGCGGTTTTGTCGGCGCGGTGTTGTGGGTGCGTTTATGACATCACGGTTTTCTCACCGCGGTTTCATCGGTGCGCTTTTGTTGTGCACGCATTTGTCGGGTCACGCATCTGACCATGGTAATGCTGAAGCAGCCA